CTTTATAACTTTTTATGCTCTATCAATGGATATATGGTAAGATTCGACCTTAAAAACCGACGGATGGAAATAGATATTTAAAGTCACCACATTTTGCCTAYATGAAAAATYTCGTAAAACWCGACGCATCAKATAGCRGTGGACTGTGGACCTTTKAAATCCTTAGTTGAGTTTATATGTTACGTATTGCATGCATAACGCGCACAAATGGTTGTTTATACTGAGGCTTCGTTATTGTCTTATTATTTCCAGACAAACCSCGCCAAACCGATGTGACAAGTGAGCTCGTACGTAAGAATAGTATCTTGTGGATATACGGCGATTCCGTCACAGAACAGTTCTACAATGGTGTTCGACGACAACCATTGTGTACTCGAGTATTTAAATGGTGCGGCCATACTTATAACTGGGTATATAACCTTAAAGGTGAGAATAGTCGACTTTAGATATTTTGGTTCAGTGACCATGCACAAAAGATTGCAGACGAGGCTCCGGGGAAATAAAAGAATGAATCAAGATTATCCATTGTTTCCCCGGAGCCTCGTGTGCGTTCTTTTGTACATAGTCATCGAACCAAAATATCTAAAGTTGACTATTACTATACTAGTACGAATAGCGCTAACAATTGCAGGATTAGTCTCAACTCGGAGAAAATGCAAATTTTCAAGGATATTGTAATAACGTCAGTTTTCCCGTTAGAATGATGGCATTTTTATTTGAATTTTCAAGGTAATATTTCAGCTGCAAAGACCCAAGATGAYGATTTGGACTTTGATGACGTCAGAGTCATTAGTGAACTAGATGACGTCATACGCCATCCCATTTTCGACCAAAACAGTGCTATATTAATCAATGCTGGCCTTCATTATYTAGAAAGTTCAAACTTTTCCAACTACCAGAAAGTAATTGATGGAATAATTCGGCTGTTTGACAGAGGAAAAGTTCAACGTCCKCTTTGGAAAGATATGARGGTGTTTCCTGGACAAGTTATCTGGAAAACTACCACGTCACTTCATAAAGAGAAACTTGATAGTAAACATCTTGAAGCAAGAAGGTTTCTTACGTCACAGGTGATTTATATAAGTTTAGTTTTGATCACACATATATGTACTATGATATACTAAGTCATCACATTGAACTAAATGAACAATGGATCGAGCTAAGGTTAAA